AGAATACTGAGTGATATCGAATAAAATTCTTTGAAGTCTTGGTGGAGCCGATTGTATGGGTTTTTTGAATATTATTTCTAATGGACGGTGATCAGTTTGTATTGTCAATCGTTTCCCATAAATGTATTCATGGAACTTTGAACATCCAAATTTAATTGCATAAGCTTCCTTCTCTATCTGAGGATAGTTTTGCTGTGACTTTGTAAGGGATTTGGTAGCATAGGCAACGGGCTGGTTTTCTTGTAGAAGAACTGCACCTACACTTTTAGAACTGGCGTCAACTGACAAGGTGACTTCTTTGTTTACATCGAAAAATCTTAATACAGGGGCGGACGTCAGTTGTTCTTTTATTTTGCAAAATGCATTTTCTTGCTGGAAGTCCCATGTAAATTCTTTGTCTTTTTTCAATAAAATTCGAAGTGGTTCTGTTAACTCTGACATATTGGGTAAGAACTTATTCAGGTAGGTAACCATGCCCAATAAACGTTGAAGTTCCGTCTTGTTTGTCGGAGTTTTAAGGCTTTTAATAGCAGACACTTTTTGTGGGTCAATAGTCAGTCCCTTTTCAGATAGGATATGTCCCAAAAAATTCACTTTTTTTGCTTGAAATACACACTTTTCTTTGTTCAGCTTAATGCCGGCGTCTCTAAGAACACTTAGCACTTTTTGTGTAATTTTCTGCAATTTTTCAGGCGACTCTGCATACAACAAGACGTCATCCATTGAACACTCTGTGTTTGGTATGTCTTTTAACAGTGATGACATTATCTCCTGGTAGATTTCTGGTGCCGATGACAAACCAAATGGGAGTCTTGTACAACAGTAGCGTCCCCAGGGTGTAGCAAACGTCAAATATTTTTCTGTTCGTTCTGATACCCTTACTTGCCAGAAGCCCTTCATTGCGTCCAACAAAGTAAAATATTTTGCTCCTGAGATTCTGGCTGAGATTTCTTCGATTGTTTTTAGTGGGTAGTGCCTTCGCAGACTATTTTTGTTGACATCAGTGGGGTCCAAGCAAATTCTTATCTTGCCTTTCTGTTTAACTATTACCATTGGACTGACGGCAGCAGTAGGCTCCTTTATTGGCTTAATAACGCCTAGTTTTACCATTTTGTCGAGTTCATTTTTGACTTCGTTTCTTATTGCATATGGAATTCTTCTAGCTAGATGTATTTCGAATTTTGGGTTTTCAACTAGATCTATGTCGTAAACAAAATTTCTTAGGCATCCTAGACCGTTGAAAATGTCATCGTTTTGGTGGAAACGTACTTCCTGAACTCTTACTATAAAACCTAAGTTCTGGCAGGACTGTCTTCCTAAAATAGGTGGCACTTCTTCATCAACTACTTTGAATGTAAGATTTGCTTGACGATTTTTGATTTGGCAATCAATCACTGTTCCACCTATGACACATATTTTGTCTTCGCTAAATGTAATGAGCCTCTTTGTATTTGATGGTTGAATTTTGGCACCCAGTTTGTCAACAATATATTTTGGCAGAACGTCGCACTGTGCACCGGTGTCCAATTTAACTTTAAACTGTTTTATTATTAATTATATTAGTATTAAAACCCAAAAAACGTTACATGGTGTCAGAAGTGTTCAGTAATAAGCATTAAAGCTGTGTATATAAAACAAAAACTTATAAACGGGTAGAAAGTGCTAAAAATGCCAGCAAATCCGCCTCCGCCAGCAGTTGTTGTCGACCCTAACCACAACAACACAGACATGGCTGTTCCGGGAATCCGCCCTCCAAAAAGTATAGTTTTAAACACAGAAAATATGGCAATCACATAGAAAAACTGGATTCAGCAATTTGAATGGTACGCCATCGCCAGCCAATTATCCAGAAAACCAGTGGAAGTACAAGCTGCTACTTTTATGGCAACCATAGCCGCCGAAGTTATTACAATATATAATAACTTTAACCTCACTGTTGGTGAACAAAAGGACATAACAGTCATCAAAAAAAAATTTGAATCCTACTTTAGCCCTAAAATACAAGTTCCATTTGAACGATATAATTTCTTTAAACTCGTTCAACGAGAGGACGAAACTTTCGATGAATTTTTGACCTCCATCAGGACCCAGGCTAAGAAATGTGACTTCAGCAACCTTCACGATAGTCTGCTGCGAGATAAAATAATTTTTGGAATACGTTCAAGCAGTGTAAGAGAAAAACTTCTTACAGAACACAACATTGATTTGGACAAAGCAATAGCAATATGCAGAGCCAGTGAACAGGCAAACAAGCAGCTGAAAGAAGTACAGAGTGTGGAAACCAGCCAAATAAACTTTGTGAAAAATAATAAACAAAAGAAAAGTGGCAACAACTCTGATACATTTGACTGCAAGAGATGTGGAACAAGGCATCAGAAAAAATCTTGCCCAGCTTACCAAAATAAATGTGAGCTTTGCAACAAGAAAGGTCACTTTAGCAGCAGATGTTTTTCAAAGAAAAATAAAAAAATAAAAAAGGTAAACACTGTAGAAAACGAAAATGACACAGAATCTGAAGACGAAATCCTGTATATAAGATCCATAGCTAAAAATAATGAAGAAGATTGGCATGAAATAATAAAGTCAAACAAAAAACGTTACAGATTGTAGCTGAGAAAAGCTCAAAGATTAATAATCCGGATCTTGCCGGCTCATTTTTTGATCCATTTTTTTTCTATCCCCTCTGCTCTCACTTATAAATGAATTCCATGGAGTGTATGCTATGTGTGTGATTTTAACGACTATTATAGTTCCAATTCAGTTTGCTTTTGTGGTGAAAAAGACGACAGGGTTTTAAATAGAAAAGTTTGTTGAAATTTGCTGTTGCTAGTAGGATTTGAACTCACGACCCTGGGTTTCCGTCCATTGCTCAAGAGGTACGGTGATATGTGACATAGCTACAGCGGTGCATTTAATATTATCATTATTATTATTTGAAAGTTTTTGACAAATCAAACTGTACTAGACTTAGTACTAGACCATTGAGCCGAAATCCCAGGAGTCGTGGATTCAAAATTACCAACAAAACAACCACAAAATGATATCAAAAAAAATTTACCTTTTTAAAAAATTTACAAAAAGAAACAGCAAATACAAATAGAAATAGATGAAAGCGGGATAAATAATTATTAATTTTTAATTAGGCAATCATTGTTTAAGCATTTACACAATGAAATACAGGGTGATTTTGTCTTTTTACAACTGCACGACATTGTTCGACAATTGGACGTACATTTACAAGGCTGGATGAATGATTCTGGCAAAGGCAACATTGTCATTTGTCGTGGACGTAAGTTACCATTGCTCTTTTCATAGCCATACAATGTAAAATTGCCACTGCTTTCAAATGTTTTATGTAGAAAAGGCTTGTGCTGCCAACATAGTTACTAAATTTTTGACTTGGGGAATTATCTTCAAATTTGGCATATTTTGTCGCCATCACAGATGTATTGAACAGGTAAAGCTTAAATTGTTGAAGATAAAACATTAAAATAAAATAACAGCTATCAGAATATGAAATATTTTCAACAAAATATAGACACAGCATATATAGACGTTGAAAATGCGACTTTTCCAGAAATTATATAAAAAACAGGGTGTTTCATTTGAAAAACAGTTAAACCATGGCGTAACTCTTTAGTTTTTATTTCAAATGATTTTTTAGTACCGTTTTTGAATTCTCCAAAAAAAAATATGCCAATTGGCTCAAAACTACAGAAACAGGAAAGGTCAAAAATAAGCCCCTGTTCAGTCGTCGTTAGATCATGGTTTGAATTCAATCATGGTTAAACCTCCAAAGGAGCGGACTTCCCAATGACCCTGTACATCTCGCAGTCTTGTTTTACTTGTGTATATTTTGGAGCAGAATTGCAAAAATATCCAACAAGTGGTAGAATTATTTTGAGTGCTTGAAAAGAAAGCCTTAGGTACAATCAATAGGAATTATTGTGAAATGACTTGAAATTGTGATATTTTCCATATAACTTTGCATTGGGAAATGGCAGGAAAGTTAGGGACCACTCCAGCTGCCGGCAAGATGTACTTTCCCATTTTTCAAGATCACAGGAACACGAATTTGAGCAGTTTTGCCGGTCCTCATATTTTGCATACTCAACTACTTGTAGCGCCTGCTCTATTAAAGATAATTCCCCAAGTCAAAAATTTACCGACTGTGTTCAGTAGTGCACTTTAAATTTGGGCGAGCTGCTTGCCGAGGACAAGCAGAAATTTGTAAAATGTCAAATTTTTAAATTATCCATCTGATTCTCATGAAATTCTGACGTTTTGACTCGACGTTTTTGTTCTGCAATGTAAATGATAGAATATCAAACGTCAAATTCAACTTGAAGTTAGAAGTGAATGTAAATGCTCCTTTTTATTCCCCTTTCACCGGCGATGCCAAATCTGGTGTGAATTTGCTGGAACGCCAAATACCGTTTCTCAATAGGCAATCCAAACCACGTGACATTCAATATGGCGTGGCGACCAAACATGGACCAAAAAACACAAAAAATATCTAAATGGTTTCTGCCCGACTTTAGTTTACGTACCTAGTTAACAAATATTTTATTGAATAATCAAAATCGAAGCTGCAAACAAACAAACAAAATAATTGAAATATGCATGAAAACACATATTCAAAACTAACTTGCTGGCCGCCACGCCATATTGAATTTGGTCTCATCCAATCAAAATTCGTATAACCATTTCTAGACTCAGTTGAAAGAGCCTCCAAAAGTTACTTTACCGCGGCCGATTTGGAACGTGTAAAGCCAACCGTTTTTGACACGCTGGAGCCGAACTTGAACGCCATATGCCAATTTTGGCTCGGCTTTAGCCGTTTTTGAACGCAGCCCTGGTAACACTCCCAACACCTTGTAGGTCTGACACATGTCAAACCCATGAAGCACTTTAATTTTTTTTTATTTTTTTTTTCATCTCACAACCAAATTGTGCAATCAAACCCACATATAGTTTAAAGTTCCAAGTAGTAATATTAAATGCCGCGCCATGGCAGTACCGCCAAAAGTGAATTCCAGTCAACAAGTAGCATTATGGAAAGTACAAATATAATTTATAAAACAATGCGCACCACCCCACGACCACTCGTTGAACATCAAGATTCAGATGAAAAAGCTAAAAATGCCCCGCCTGATAGTCTTAAATCACAGACATACTCTCATATCCCTCTTCCATTGAAAGCAGATCTATTAAAGTCGTCGTCGTTTATTAAAAGTGCACGTTCATCAATTAGCAGGCCAGTTTCTTCAACTGCAAGCCGTATTAGTTTTTGTTCAGAAAACAAACACACATTGGAAATTCAGTTTATCAACAAAAATAAAATGTTTATGCAAATGAAACGGGAATTAGAGGAAAAACTAAAGCCTGCTGTGGACTTACATAAAACTTTGGTGCAACTTAAGAGAAAATTGAAAGAATTAGGAAAGCTTGTTACATTCGAAGATATAAAGTGGGACCCTATGAACGAATATCAGAAAACCTTAGGAAGAAGTGAAGGTGATGGAAGTTCACCTAATGAACTACTGCAAGACTTGAAAGACTCCCTAAAACAAATATCAAAAACTATGATAGATGTTTGTAAGAGTTTACTTAGCAGAAGAGCAATGATTGTAGAAGTTTTAGAGAAAGTAGCTAATTCTGAATTAAATCTCTCTGACGTAACATCAAAAATAGATTTAGTGAAAAATGAAAGTCAACAATTGGAAAATTCCTTACAGAGCATTATGAAAGACCAACAAAATAAAATTAATGAATTAGTTAGTAAATGGGAAACCCTTCTAAGTTCAAACAGAATAAATGTAAAATCTGAAGAATTAGAATTACAACCTCAAGAACATGAAACACTAATGCGAGAATCTAAACATGTAATTCATAATTTACAACAAAAACTAGAGAATCGTAAAGTGGTTTACAATAAGTCATTAGCCGAAATGAATAATAACATTCGCAATTTAAGAGATCAAATTCAACAACTTGAACATGATTTGGAATGTGAACGTAAATCCACTAAAGAAATTAAGACCAGAAATTCGAACAATTCCAAAGTTACAAAAACTATGAAAGACAAAATTATTGAATTAGAAAATTACAAAGCTACTGCAGAGGTTGCCAAAGTCGAGTTCGAACGGAAAAACAAAATTTTAAATGAACAACTGAAAAATAAAGAGGCCCAATGGAACAAAGAAAAAGAAGAAATGACTAAGGCCTTAAATAAGCACGCTTGCGATTTTTCTAAAATTACGAGTGAAAAAGCTGACTATAAAACAAACTTAAAGGTTATAGAAGCTCAAAAAATTGACACTGAAAGAGAATTACACGGCAAAATTGAATACTTGGAAAGTCAGGTAGAAACGTTTTGCAAAGAAAGTAAAGAAAATGCTAAACAGAGAGACGAAGCTCGAGAAAAATGTGCAGCATTTGAAACTTTCATTGCCAGAATGGGACTTAATAACAAAGAAACTATGCAAAAAGTTTGTGATAGCTTGAAAGAGGGCAACAATGAACAAGCTGAGTCTTTGAGAGAAGAAATGGCCAAAGATGTAGAAATGAGAGAGCTAAAAGACAAAATGTCAATTTTGGAAAGAGAAAGATTTATTTTATTAGAAGAAAAGAAAAATTTAGAAAATACTATACATTCGACTGACATAGGCAGAGAAATTGCAAAACAACAAAAATGCCTTAATAAATATAAATTTTTGTTAGAAGAGAGTGAAAATAAGTTCATGCAGAAATGCAATGAAGTCTCACATCTACAATCTCAGATGAAACACCTCAAAGTGAGACAAGAAGCTCTGGAAGAACAAAATTCAAAATGTCCAACTGAGGAATTGCAAAGGATAGTTGAAGAAGGCCGGTATAAACTTGAAGGATTAATGAAAAAAACTGTCGAAAATGAACGAACATTGGAAGAATATATTATTGTGCTTGAGAAAAAAGACCATCAGATAAACAACTTGGAAAATTTATTGCGATATCGTGACAATGTGTCTAACATTTTGAAAGGTGTTAGAGACACAGTAATGTACGATAAAATGAGTTTGACAAAGTATGCTACCGAACTGAGACAAAATTTATCATACACGGTTGAAGAAAGCAAGATGAAAGAAATTCTGATTATAGATTTGACAAATAAAATCGAATTACGAGAGAAACAATTAGAGAAACTGGAAGAAGAAATTGAGGATCTTAAAGCCAATATTGTATTGGGCAATGATAAACGATTTATACTACAAAAAACAATCGGGGAAATGGAAAAGGAATTACAAGATGCTCGAGCTCGTGCTAATCAGTTCGTTGACAACAATTTTAGAAGTGAACGTAAAAAATGTAAACCATTTTAAATTCACATGTAATTTTTTTAAATAAACATGTTTATTTTTTTTTTAAATTTTATTTGTAGGTATAAGTTGTTTGAAATTCAAAAACTGGCTCAGAAATTGTTGGCATGCAATATTTTTTTGGATTGGTTTCTGGACGGGACAAAAAAAAATCTAGATGGCATTCATAGTCATTTAGCTTCTATATGTTAATGATGTCACCTTCAATCAAAGTTTTTTCAGTCCTTGTTCCGAGCCTTGTTCCATAATCTTCTTCTCGAAGGTTGACTGGAATCTTGGTTATTCCTCTCGGGCATTACTCTAGGATCTTGACCATTTTAATGAAGTATGAGTTCCAATGTTTTTCATTTCAAATTAGACTTGGAATTTTTAAACAAGATTATATAAATTCATATAGCTACTGCTTGTTTCACGTTTGTCGGTTCTTATTAGAGGCCCGCCAGGTTGTAGATTCTGTCTATACTGATTTCTCCAAGGCCCTAGATAGGGTAAGTCATACGCTATTAATGGATAAACTTTCTGAATATGGTGTATGCGGTCCACTTCATCAGTTGCTGCATTCTTATCAAAGATTGTAAAGGTGAAGTCATTTCAGTCTGAGGTTATTAGTATCACATCTCGGGTGCATCAGGGGGGGTCATCTTGCACCACTCTTGTTTTGCTCAATTATTAATGACATGGGGTCTTGTTTCCATCATGTGAAATTTTTATAACATGTTGATGACTCGAAAATAAATGTTATATGTATAAATTAAGAAGGTCTAGACAGGGGAGTGCAGGACGATCTTCTGAGGTTTCGCGTTTTGCGGGTGGTGTAATAAGAATTTAATGACATATTAGTTATTTATGTATCAAGGGAATTATGAGGGTGTTAATACCCCAGGGCAAAGTTTGCACACCACACCAATTGCCCGTGGGTATTAACACCTGATAATTTCCGTGGTACATAGATAATTTTATTTCCTACTGAATTTACTGTATTTTGTCCATTTTTATAAAGAAATAAACCATAAACCAAAATTTCTATTTTTTGTCTAAGTTTCACCTAAGCAAGGTAAAAGCGGTTGTTATGGAAATCCTTAACTCCCTTGGGAGTTAAGACCCTGTTTATGATTATCCTAACCAAGGTATTATATGGTTATAATAGTTCAGTACTCGGTTCAGTAGGAAATAAATAAATAAAATATTTAAAAATGCAAATATTGTCAACAAGCAAAGCTACTTAGGAAAATATGACACTGTACTGTATATGATTGACCGACTTATTGATTGGCAAGTCAGCATCGCAAAAGAAAACAGAATGAAAACCCAAGAAGACAATATTGTGCCTGAGAAATACAACCTAAAATCTCTAGGGAAGTAGGCCCACACCTTATTGGTGGGATCAAGAAATAGAGAAAGACATAGAAGATAAAAGGAAGAAATACCAACAGTATCTAAGTTCAAATAAGACACGAGACACGAGACAAAGAAATATATAAAGAAGCACAAGCAAGAGTACGGAATAACATAGTACACAAAAAGAACGAGTCATGGGAAAGAAACTGTGCGCATATTTATACTTATCTAGGCGGTAAAAGAAACACAGACACGAAACATAAAAACAGCAGGATCACCAATACGAGTTATGCAAGAAGAAGTTAAAAAACACTGCGGCTTCTTGAAAAATGGTAGGGCACCAGGCCCAGGAGAAATATATGGAGAACTGATAAAGTGTGGGACCAATAAACTCTACAAACATTTAACAAAACTATTTCAAACATGCATAGATAAACAAGAAGTACCGGAAGAGTGGAAAATAAGCTATTTAACAACGATATATAAGAAAGGAGACAGAAACAAATGCGAGAACCACCGAGGAATTGCAGTAACAAATACGTTGAGCAGAGTGTATGGGAAACTTATAAAAGCCAGAATAGATAACGAGTACAAAGATAGTGAGGCAGAAGAACATGCCGGTTTTAGAGCAGGAAGATCAACTGTAGACCATTTATTCAGTTTGACCCAGGTAATGGAAAAGAAACTAGCATATAACCAAGAACTCCATTTACTTTTTGTCGATCTAAAGAAAGCATACGACAATGTTCCGCTGAAAAAGATTTGGGAAGCACTGGAAAAGACCAATATCAACTTAGAACTAATAAAGGCAGTAAAAACGCTCTATAGTGATGCAAAGACCAAGATTAAACAGGGAAACTTAATCAGTAAAGGCTTTATAGCAACTAAAGGACTTGAACAGGGATGCTGCATATCACCAACACTTTTTAAAATATACTTAGAACAAGCGCTCAAACAGTGGAAAAACAAATGCAGACACATGGGAATACCGCTCAATGAATACAATCTTTATACTTTAAGCTTTGCAGATGATCAAGTATTAATTGCACAGGACTATGATGACCTAGAGTACATGACACAAAAATTGATAGAGGAATACGAGAAATGGGGTTTGGAAGTAAATTTAACGAAAACAGAATATATGACTATAAGAGGTGAACAACGAAATCTGAAATTGAATAACGGACAAGAAATAAAACAATGTTCTGAATACAAATATTTGGGCATGAAAATCTCACACGAGGGAACCCTAGACGAAGCAATTAAAGATAGGAATATACAAGGACGCAAGGCAATATCCCTACTAAATGGTGTACTGTGGGATCAAAATATCAACAAAACTAACAAAACGCGAATATACAACACCATAGTCAAAAGCATAGTCACGTATGGTTCAGAAGTCTGGCCACTAAAGATCAGAACCGCAAAAATGCTGGAAGCAACTGAAATGGACTTTTGGAGATCGGCAGGCAGGTCAAAAATGGAGAGGATAACAAATATGAGAATTAGGGAGATTATGGACGTAAAACACACAATAATAGATGATATAAAGGACAAACAGCTGATTTGGTTCGGACATGTACAAAGAATGGCAGATACAAGAATACCCAAGCAAATAATTGAGTGGAAGCCAGGGGGAAGAAGAAGACGCGGCAGACCAAGAAGAAGCTGGAGAAGTGGAGTAGACGAGGAAATGAAAGACAGAGGCCTAGAAGAAGATGCCTGGATTGACAGAGATGGTTGGAGATCGGGAATCGGAAGACGTAGAACGTTATAAACCGATAATTATATAAGTCAGCGATAAACGAATATAAATAGTAGACGGCAACACACGGATAGGCATACTTGAACCAGCGCAATTACCTCTTTTGGGAAAGCTCCTTTGGCCTCAAGTCTCCATCCAGCGCAATTACCTCTTTTGGGAAAGCTCCTCTGGATGTCATCAGTCTTCGTGTCGTCCAGTGCAATTACCTCTTTTGAGAAAACCCCTCTGGACGACCCTTCACTTTAGCAAATTGCTCCTAACGTAGCTTTGTGTTTTTCAGGCAGGTAGCTCCCCTGAGCCCCTATAGAAGAGGCACTATGTACCATAGAGCCATCCTTTGGTAACTACTATTATAACCTTCACTCTACAATATCCCTTAAACTAAATACCAAGCAAGTCACGACCCAGCCACGAGAGGATAAAGTTGTGACATTTAATGGAGGTACCGTCTCGAACCTAACGCACAAAAACCGACGCCTTGAAAGCAAGCCAACGCTCACACCACACAACGATTCACGACACCGTGGCGAAGGCACTTAAGAAGAAGAAAAAGTACAGAAATACCACAAACAAGTAGTACCATTAGATCGGTGGGTGATGGCGCAAGGGTTATCAACTCGGTTATCAAAATATGAATACATATAGGAAAAGTATTACATAAATCGAATGTCAGAAGAACAGGATAAATACAATCTACGATCCAAAGGCACGAGCACGCCTAGCAAAGAACCATTGAAGCACAGAAGAACTCTCCATACCCTCTCGATCGCTAACAAGATCACCACCACAATCTTCAAATTTTGATTGGGAGCAAATCACGGAAATAATGGGAGGAAATCTATTACCACTCGGAATTGCATCAAGAAGCCAACATACCGCCTGTACAAAGTCCCATCCACACAGATAACAGCAAAATGGCCAATACAACTATGGTCGAAGCCATGGAAACGGAGAAAAAAGCAGTGGTAACCCAATTTATAAACCCTCCGACGTTCCACCCTTGCAAAAGCAGTACGACAGAATTTTTGAGGGCCTATGAAAGTAGGGCCATAGCACACGGGTGGAATGACATACTCAAAATTACCTATTTTGAGACATTTCTAGACGGCGCAGCTAACCTGTGGTTTCAAGAATACAAAATAAATAATCAGGACAAAGAGTGGAAAGAAATCATTAAAGAGTTCACGGGGGAATTTGAAAATTCAGACTACCGAACATCTCTGAAAAAGAAAGTTAAAAATGGGAAACAAACGTCTGAAGAGGCAGTCCGAGAATTTCTATACAAACTAAGAGTGCTGTATCACGATTATAAACAGACCATGGATATCAATGAACTTGTGACTATCTTTAGCGAAGGGCTGACAGAAGAAAATTTCTACCACTACCTACACCTACTGGCTCACAAATCCACCAAATACACCTCCTTCAACATTGGAAAAAGTTAAAGAAACCAAACGATGAATGTAGTCCTGCCTCAATCGCAAAGGGCGTATGATACTAGATCACCCCAACAAAGCAGCAATGAAATCACGTGTTACTATTGTGGGAAAAGGGACATAAGGCAGCCATCTGCTACAATAGACAACAGGCAGTCCAGAGAAAGGGACCAGCCCGGCCCAAAACAATGGAAAAGGGACAACGTGCTATAACCGCGGAAAACCAGGCTTGGCATCGGTGTGTAGAATCCAGCAGCACAACAAAAGCTACAATGAGAAACCTACAACTTATAGAAACACACCAGTCTGTTATAACTGTGGAAAACCAGGTTACTTTGCAACTTGCAAGAATCCGTTTTTGTGTCGACTACCGAAAAGAAATGCCGTAACAAAGCAATCATCATATCCTCTACCACAAATCGACGATATTCTGTCATATCTCGGAAATGCATCCTATTTCAGTACTCTTAATATGTGTTCTAGATTCAATTCAATTCAATTCAATACGTTTATTAATTCCATTTTGGGTTAAATTCATTCAATACAACAATACAACTAATATTGGTTTACAATGGAACTAAAGGGCCTTTTTGGCAGCCTCCCCAATGAAGATCATCAGGGTGCTGATGTTGCCCAAATATCCTAACTAAATAACTAGGTACTCAAGATTAACCTTAACGCTAAAGAAAAAAAGAAAAATACAATAAAAAAAAATATTTTGAGAAAAGGTTTTAATGTAAAAAAACCTACAGTAAGAGAAAAAAGAGAAGGAGTTAAGAGGGAATGAATGAATGTGCACATATTGAGTTCAGTCAGATTCTAAGGAGCTTCTTTCTGAATTTTTTTTTAAAGGATATGTAAGACTCATCAAAATTAAATATTTTATATTTGTTAATTAAATAAGCAATTCTATATGAAAATGATTTTTTGAAAAATTCTTTACGACAGGTAACCATCGAAGAAAGCTCCAAATAGTACACCACATTCGTAGCACAAGGTTATGGAACCTACGAATTTAATGTTTTCAGCTTAGGACTATGTAACACTCCCGCAATTTTCATATAAACGAGAAGAAGGGTTTTTATAACTGGTTTTCCCTTCAACAAATCACGATAACCACGGAATGACATACAGGACTATAATTTGACATAACCGCTTTAAAGTTGGAACTGGAATTAGCCTATAAGGGGCACAAAAAGCCTCAGGAAAGAGCTAGAAAAGTCCTGATTGTCACTACCACCCCTGCTTATGAATAGATTTGTTAGTCTATTTAAGTAATAAGTAGGTTATGTAGCTTTAAGATTATGATGTAAATATTGTAAATAAATTGACTATTGATTGATTGATTGCTCCCGCAACCTTCCAAGAATTAGCTGACCACGTTTTCTGGGACATGAAATGGAAGGAAATATTGATTTATCTGGACGGCATAATAATATTCTACCAAACGCTCGAACAGCACTTGGCAAAATTGAGAAAAGTTTTAGAAAGATTACGACAGGCAAACCTAACTCTGAAACCAAGCAAATGCGAGTATCTACGAAAAAAAATAAAAATCCTGGGTTTTAATGTGAACGAAAAGGGCATACTACCAGACGAAGATAAACTGCGTATGCATAAGGAACTTCCCAACTTCAAAGAAAGTTAAAGATGTGCAAAGCTTTTTAGGATTATGTAATTTCTATAGAAAGTTCATATGTAACTTCGCAGCAATAGCAAGATCATTACGTGACGTGACAAAGAAGAACAAAGGGTTAATGGGACACAAACTAGGAGGAAGCTTTCAATATTCTCATGGAATAATTCATACCAGCACCAGTACCAAACCACTTTGACCCAAATAAAAATAATATTCTACACACAGATGCAGCAACATGCGGAATTGGGGCAGTGCTATTGCAAGAAGACGATGAAGGAAAAGCGCATCCAATAGCCTATATAAGTCGAAGTCTATCAAATAGCGAGAAAAATTATTCAATAAGCGAGTTAGAGCTATTAGGTGTAGTACGGGTTCTAAGCTATCTAAGACATTTAATCTACGGTAAACTAGTGAAAATTATAACAGACCACCAAGCACTAAGCTGGATGGTTTCTATCAAGGAGAGCAAAAGACGTCTAGCCAGATGGGCATTGAAGTTGGCAGAGTTCGAGTACACGGTTGAATACAAAAAAGGCTCGACCCACAAAGATGCTGATTGCATGTCCCACAACCCAGTCTTGCAACCCGATTCACAGAAAAGCGAGGAACAAGAGGAACTACCAACAACTAACCCAAACTACCAACATTTGCGATAAGAACAATGAGAATGAGTTCATTATAGAAAAGAGACCCAGAGTTGAGACAGATCAGAAAGGCAGTAGAAAACCCGGACGATTCAAATATTAACATCGGAGCTAAGAGAAGAGCGAAAAATTTTAGAATCGAGAATGATGTACTATACAAACTAAACAAAACACAAAAAGGCCTCAGCAAGGTACTGGTGGTACCCAAATCAATGAGGGAAGAGATTCGGTGGGAACTGTACACGTCACCGACATGCGGCCACTTAGGGTTGAGCAAAACAACAGACAAAATACAGATTAGGTTCTTCTGGGACGGAATGCTCAAAGGCATCGAGAACTATGTTAAAGGGTGTCCAGATTGTCAGGCGAAGAAGGGCCAACCATACAGAAAGACCCCGGGCTTCTTACAACCAATACAAGTAGGCACGATTTTTGAGAAAATTGACATTGATTTACTTTTATTATTATCATAGAAACACTGATTTTCTTGTTATTATCATAGATAAGATTATTATGTTCTATATAATGGTTACTTTAACATCCCTGTAACTCTTTAGATTGGTAAGTGAGAAAAAGAATGATATTAATTAAAATGGTAGTTCTTGATAATAATTCATATGGTTTCTATGGGTCAAAAACGCATACCATTGTGTTTGAATAAATTAACAACGCATAGACACCTATTGCTTCAGTTCTCATGTATTCTCTGTACTGTAATTTTACATTAAATTTATTTGACTATCTTGATGTAATTGATAGTGCTCTTGATTCAATAATTTATTATTGTATTTTTATTTTATTTATATTTTTTTTTTTGTTGTGTAATTTCATTTAACTTATAAATGTTTTTATCGATGTGTTTTTTCTCCATTTACAGACCCTTGATAAAGTTGTAATAAACACCGAAACATTGGGAAATTGAATTGAAGTTTCACTACCTGCCTTGTTCTATCTCCCGCTACTATGGTTTTCCTGTAGATAATGATATATCTCTCAACCTTGATAAATATTCCTTAATGAGATTTAGCAGATCTTCACTTCCAATTCCTGCCTGAATACATGTTAAATAGGAATCTGTTGTTGAGGATGTCAGTGTCTCTATAAAGACCAAACTAACACCTACTCCTCACTTTGAGAGTAATATAGAAATCGGTAACAGAGTGCTCGGTTTTATAAAGTCCTCATACAGAGTGTTTGAAAATTTTTATACACACTTTGAAAACCTCATGAATTAAAGGATTACAGGCAACAAAAGCAAAAATTCGGTTCACTTTGTAAATAATACTTAGTTATCACCATCCATGTAATGTTAATTTCATTCCTTTTGCCAGACAAAAAATAGCAATTAGTTCTTACCTGCTATTGATCTCGTTCTTGAAATCCTCAATCAACTTGTAAATAACATTATGCTCTTTGAGAGTCACTCCATTTTCCACTATCAAAGGCCTAATATTACTGGGCAAAGGTACGTTAAATGCATATATAACGCAATTAAATGCTTTCGCTAGTTCAATATCAGTTTGAGTGGCTGGTCCGACTCCATAGTTGACAATATCTAATCTAACATCTTCTGATTCATAGGTGTCTAGGGTTTCTAAAATTGCTTCCAGTGTACCATCTACGTCTGCTCGGACGATCACATTCAATGAGGGAGTACCATTATCTAAAAGTGCAGAAACTTCTTAAGCTACGAGATTCCAATAGGTATCTACTGAAAAGTTTTTAATTTTCATTTTTAACCTTTCCAGAAAAATAAGGCTTATATGATGAGAAACCGAGAATTATTCATCTAAATTACAAATAAAGTTAAGATTTTCAAAAACTAAATATATTATTCACATACCTTCATCAATTTCAGGTTTCCTAGGGCCTTCCTGTTTCATTCTATACCTTCCAAGTGACCTTTTATGCTTCAAATGTTCCTTGTAATTCCTTTTGTGAACTTCTTGTTTTTGTTCAATTATTTTTAAATCTTCTAGTTGTTTCTTTTTTTCTGCCTCTGCTTCCCTAAACTAAAAGTGAATATTTTGTCAAAGTGATTACTTATCAGCATTCACATAGAAAAAGCCTAAATCCAACAGAAAACTTAATGGAAATGAAAATATTATACTTTCCAGAGAAATGAACTGTGACTATCATTTCTTTGAAGTTAGGAATAATAATAATTTTGCTATGAATACATTCCAAAATTCCTTACTTTTATGACCAATCTAGCCTCTTTTTCGCTTTCAGCTTCCAAAACAATGTCTCCAGCAGCAGGCAAATCTCGCCAACCATCGATTTCCACAGGATAACCTGGTGAAACTTTGTCCAAACTTTTACCATCAGCATCTTTCAGTGACCTTACTTTTGCCATGCAAGTGCCAGCCACCAAAATATCTCCTTTTTTCAAAGTACCTCTTTGCACAACCATTGTAGTCAATATGCCTCTGTATGGATCCAGATTGCTTTCAACAATGACTGCTTCTACTGGCCCTGTGGGGTCAGCGCCTATTTCCAATAGTTCAGCTTGTAAAACTAGAGCTTCAGTGAGTTTTTGTAAATTTTGTTTTTTCAGTGCTGAAACTGGAACTGCTTGGACGTCTCCACCTAATTTTTCTACTTGAATGCCATTTTCTAGAAGCATATTTTCTGTTCGTTCTATATCAGCTTTTGGGGCATCAATTTTATTAATTGCCACAAGAATCGGAACTGGAAAATAAACAATGAAACAACGTAGAATATGAAATACATTATAAAAGTTACTCTAGACTTACCTTTAGCATTTCTAGCCATCCTGACGGATTCTATAGTTTGTTCCATTACACCATCATCAGCTGCTACAACTAGTACTACAATATCTGTTACATTGGCACCTCTGGCTCTCATAGAACTGAAGGCTGCGTGTCCTGGAGTATCCAAAAAAGTAACTTCTGCACCTAAAATGAATATTATATTACAACAATCAATGAAAATTAACACACTTATTAATTATACCTGATGGTAAAGTAACTAAAAATGCTCCAATATGTTGTGTAATTCCACCAAATTCTTTATCGACGACACTTGAGTGCCTTAAAGCGTCTAGTAAAGTTGTTTTTCCATGATCTACATGGCCCATAACAGTAACTACAGGAGGCCTCGGTTTTAAATCTTCCTTTTTAGGCGGCGGACGAGGTTTTAATTCTTTTATTTCTTCTTCCGTTACTTTATTTGTTGGTTTGGCTATAAGTCTTATCCTTTTTCCAGCCCTTCTAACCCCATTTTGCAAATATTTTATATCATCAATGGCAGTGTTTGGATTTTTAATTTCATTTAAAAATAATTGCCTCACAAAACTGACATCGCTTTCTAAAACTTTTGCTAGTTCGAATAATGTCATGCCTTTCCATACATCTATTATCTCGGCTTTTGATTTTGTATATTCTATTACTCTCCTTGGGGCTTTCTAGAAGAGTGTTTCTTGATAAAAGCTAATCTTCCTATGCAAAGAAAAAAATCTTACCCGTTCCTCTGCAGTTTTTCTTCTTTTAAAACACACTGTGCTAGTGTATAGGTGTCTGTGTTTACATCTATGGGCAACATATTGGGCTGACTCATTGGAGTTGGATAGGACATAATCTATACTAATAAAAGAACGGTAGTTAGTCATCAACTTTAAACGCACAGGCCAAACTACTTGAACTACAGTTATGAAACTTGGATGTGGTATTGGGTTTATGACGTAGGCTCTCGGTAAGAAAGGATATTGAAAATTTCATCCCCCATGGGGGTTAAAATAAGGGTTGAAATATTAAAGAGGATTTCTGTATCTCGGAAATGTGAAGCCGCAAAGATCTGCAAATCGTTCAGAGTTTTTTGAAATTTCAACTGGGGGCGGAGAAATGGGGGTATTTTGATTTTGAAAGGGGGTAAAGGGATTTTCTTTATTTCGGAAACGAAAAGTCACAGATGTTTAAAAATTGATATGTAGACTCTACTAATAAAATAATGGGATCCATGTTTCGGCGTTTTTCTATTATCTTCCTTATCACCTCCCTATGTCCCCCCATCATCATGAAAAAAGTGTTCCTCCAAAAATATAGGTTGTGTGGTATCAAACTGAAGGAACTAAAGCAAGGAATATAAAAAAGTTCTGGTATTAGTTTCATAATCCCCCCCTTATATAGGATAAAAAAATAGAAAATTTTTAGAAAATCAACAAAAAAATTGAAAAATAAGTGTAACATTTCAAAATCGATTTTCACGCTAGCAACACAGCGGGTCATTAGCTAGTAAATACTAAAATTAATAAAAATACTAAAATCAAAATATGCTTTGTTTTCAGTGATTTGTGGATGAAGAATAATACTTAATCTAAAAATAAATATTGATAAGATCAAAATCATTTTATTTAAAAGAAAAAAAACCATAATAATTAATGAAGTTCAGATTACAATAAACTCACTATTAAAGACATCCTGTAACGCGGCATAACGCCCCACGCCATTTAGCACCTGCATTCTTTAACAAGCTTCCCTGAAGGTTGAGAATCTTGCCCTTTGGGCAATTTGAACAAATGTTTCCAAAAGAACAGTTTTTGCAATATCATATATGACAGATCTGGACTTACAATAATTAATTTAGTAGCCACATTTTAAATAACAAATAAGTAATGTTCAGTATGTAGTATAGATACTGTGTAATTTGTTGAACTCAATCAATCAAAGATGGACATGGATTGGCCAACCCGCTTTTCTGCATCTTCTGCTTTGATATTGGACTATTTCTGTACAAATTTCATTCAGATTTAAATTCAGTGTGCAACGATCACTGCCAGTTTTTCTGACCACGAAGCAGAGCTGGGCAGTAGCTAGCTACCAAGTAGTTAAGCTACTAGCTTAGCTACTTTTCTGGTAGCTAATAACTTATTCAAGCTACTTTGAAAAAAAAGTAGCATGTAGCTGTAACTTTTGGTAATGTGTTCAAGTATTCATAAGCTACTGTGAAAAGTAGCTAGCTACTAAAACAAGCTACTTAAGCTACTTTTGGTAGATAGTTAATAGTTATTTAGGTATTAATGGCGGAAAGTGTCATTTACCGCCCGAGAGTGTGGTTAACGATACTCAACGCCCAAAATACTTATTACGTTTTATGCGCAGCGGACTCTTCTACACTTTATTTTTTTCCAAGATAGATTTTGACATTCAAAACTTTGAAACATAAACAGTAACGCTTGACCCTGACTGGTCGCAAAATGAGGTGTTTCTGCAGGTTGACATCAGTTTTACAATAGCGACCAATAAGCGGCATTAGCGGCATTGTTTATGTTTCAAAGTTGACAATGCCAAAATCTATCTTGGGAAAAAATAAAGTATAGTTCAAAAATAAAATAACAATAGGTACCTATAATATAATATATAATGGCATCCATTCGACATTGTTTTCAAAAATAAACAGTTTTCCCCTCATAAAGGCACGTTTCCACCAACCTATCGCCCGCGTTTGAATTTACCGCTCGATGAAAGTAACTTTATACTTTAATTGCTCAAGCTACCTTATCATTTTCCAGAAAATTCTTATCCTGTTGCTTAGACTAGTTTCTAGTTATCCCTGTAGGTACCTATGTTTTATGTGTCCTATTTTATTCTCGCATTGGCAGATCACTGTGATCAAAGTGAACCTAATAAATTAATGTCCAGTGGTTTTTGACAAAAATATGAATACTACTTCTTAGAGAAACTTAATTCTCAAATTTTTTTTTTTGCTTTGCCATTGATCGGAGTGGAATGACGACAGCCTGGCTATCGTCAGCCCGTTGCAACAGTTTCATCAGGTGTTACTGAGTAATTTGGACATTACCTTCCCTATTCTCAGTATAAAGAAACGAGAGAGAAAACTCTATATACAAAGGGTCTGCGAACTTTTGGGAGAAATATGCACCCCCTCCATTATTACATAATGAAAATTGTCTATCAACAACTTTGCATGAGGGTAAATATGGTCAAACAGCTTCCAAATGACCCGAACTATCACTCATTAAAATCTTCCTATAGATGTACCAAACACCCTGTATCTCGCCCTGTATATAGTATTTAGTGTAATTTTACAGTTTTATCTACAAATAGTTAATTTAATTCATGTATGATGATTGTAAAAACCGATGTTTTGCTGAAATATCGAGTGAAATACATTGAAACTATTAAAAATAGCAGTCCAAAAGCAACCCAATCAGTTAAGCAGTGTCAGCAATTAAAAGAGGTAACTGTGTTGCCAAGACAACAGAAAATCACCCGTAATATACATTCTTGAGAAGTACCTAAGTTATAGGCAAAACGTTTTAAGTGAGGTTTTAAGGCTTTTCTGACATCCAAATAAATATCTTCCTCTAGGAAGACATAAAGAAAGACAAGAACAGGAAGCCCAAAGATATCAAAAGCAAGTTCAATATGGAATAAAGTCGACAATAAAGTAACACTCTGGAACGATGAGAAAAGTCTACTGATTCTCTAATTGACTGTGATATTGGTAGTGTACCTAATGAATAACGATTCGAAAACCTTGGAAAAAAAAAGGTATTGCGGGCGATATTTCCCCACCTAAGCCTTCTAGATTTGAACTAAAGGCAGTTTATCTATCTCAAACTACCTGAATTAAGTAATGCAGTAAAAACTGGACCATACTACTCAATCCAATCCCAACTGGTCAGCTAGGAATGGGGAATTATTGAAATTATTCAGTTTTAGAACAATTAACAAGGCCTTTGAATATTACAATCACTTCAGTCCTACCTTTTGTTAAAGTTCAATTTTCGGAGACCTAGATTGAAGAAACTTTGCACTCTTAAACCCCTGAAGTACACAGCCATGTAATGAATATTTATGTAGAAACTTAACTACAACTACACATTCTCATTTCATAATAATAATTAATATTTTCAAATTTATCAAACCCAAATCTTTTTGATTTTTTGAGGTTATGTAGGTTGAGGTTCATTTGTTCTATTGAAATCCGAACTACCAATGACGTCATAAAATTTCATATTTGAACTGGGTTCGGCTAGGTCACTCCGTTCACTCCGACCATGGTTTTTAACCTGAGCTAGAGAAATAACAACTATTTTACACATTCGGCTATACCCAGTCGAGACAGGGTAGTAGAGAGTAAAAGGCTTTTTCAAATGAAGCGCATAGGACTTCATTCACCGAACAATGATGACGCTTGTTCCAAAACGGCAGAAACAGAAAACACAGTGATTCTGAAACCGTTTATGGGACTGTTTCACTGTTTCTGAAAAATTGGAACCCACTTTTTTATTAATAGGAATGATCCAAAATCAAGTTCCAAATCCTTGGTTAATTTCCGACTCATCATTTTTAATTCGATCTTGGAGGAACTGATGCGTCACGAGTAAATAGGTCTGTTTCTGGTTTCTGCAGAAATCACAAACCAGTCTGAGCGAATTTCATTGGTTGAAAACAGTCAGAAAACTAATTTCAACCAATGAAATTCACTCTGACTGGTTTGTGATTTCTGCAGAAACAGACCTATTATTTGTTAATCATTTGTCCTTTCAGAGCATGCCTTTGAATCCCGTCGGTAAGCTGGTGAAACCCCTTTGCACAAAAAACATTAAATTTAATTAGTTTAAAATTGAAAACAGAAATTCCCAAATTCAACCCTAGATCAAATGGTAACTCCACTCTTTTAAGGGCCACATACACTACGATGAAACACGACGGTTTTCACCGCCGCGAGGAAACACGTCGTGCCAAAACCGAAGTGTGTGGTAGAAAACCGTCGTGTTTTTCTACCACACACTTCGGTTTTGGCACGACGTGTTTCCTCGCGGCGGTGAAAACCGTCGTGTTTCACCGTAGTGTATGGGGCCCTATACACTACGGTGAAACACGACGGTTTTCACCGCCACGGTGAAACACGTCGTTCTAAAACCGAAGTGTGTAATAGAAAAACACGACGGTTCTCTACAGGGCCCCACAGACTACGATGAAACACGACGGTTTTCATCGCCACTAGGAAACACGTCGTTCCAAAACCGAAGTGTGTGGTAGAAAACCGTTCGTGTGTACGAAATTTTGAATCGGCGTCGTGCCAAAAATAAAGCTCGGACTGAATTTTAAACCGACGATGAAACACGACGGTTTTCTACCACACACTTCGGTTTTGGCACGACGTGTTTCCTCGCGGCGGTGAAAATAACCGTCGTGTTTCACCGTAGTGTATGGGGCCCTATACACTACGGTGAAACACGACGATTTTCACCGCCACGATGAAACACGTCGTTCTAAAGCCGTAGTGTGTAATAGAAAAACACGACGGTTTTCTACAGGGCCCCACAGACTACGATAAAACACGACGGTTTTCATCGCCACGATGAAACACGTCGTGCCAAAACCGAAGTGTGTGGTAGAAAAACACGACGGTTTTCATCGTCGGTTTAAAATTCAGTCCGAGCTAGATTTTTGGCACGTCGGTTCAACATTTCGTACACACGAACGGTTTTCTACCACACACTTCGGTTTTGGAACGACGTGTTTCATCGTGGCGATGAAAACCGTCGTGTTTCATTGTAGTCTTTGGGGCCTTGTAGAAAAACCGTCGTGTTTTTCTATTACACACTTCGGTTTTAGAACGACGTTTTTCATCGTGGCGGTGAAAACCGTCGTGTTTCATCGTAGTGTATGGGGCCCTTTAGAACGACGTGTTTCACCGTGGCGGTGATAACCGTCGTGTTTCATCGTAGTGTATGGGGCCCTTTACTCTTGTACTGCTGACTGTTTCGTCGGTTTATTTCTATGTAAAATCTGTTTTTTTTTTAAAGATAATTCCCCAAGACAAAAATTTAGTAACTATGTTGGCAACACAAGCCTTTTCTACATGAAAAATTTGATAGCACGACAATTTTACATTGTATTGCCAACCTAATGTCAGTTTGACTTTTATCTTTAAAAAAAAAACGCACTTTACTTTAGCTTTGACGGATCCAAAGTTCTTGAAGTTTTCTAAAATCCTTTTTTCTACTGACGTTTCATAATAGCAACTTTTCGATTGTCATTTCAGTTTTGAAACGACATTCTTTTAGGCACTGAGTGCGTGAAAGTTACTTTTAGGCACTCAGTGCGTAAAAGTGACTTTTGAATGCGTAAAAGTGACTTATGAGTGCGTAAAAGTAATTTTTAAGCACTAGTGCCTAAAAGTGTCATTCATTATTCAGAAATAAAAAACACACTAAACACATATTTGAATTTTGTTTTGTATTTATTATGAATATTGAAAATGGAATTACTGAATTGAACGTTTGGGTTACTCAAAACAGAACTTTGTGTTATTACCTACTTTCTAGGATTTTAATTATTGATGTCGAATTTTCAAAAGAAAATCGCATGAAAAGTGTCAGGTGGCAAGTAAAAGCAGGTAACAAAGATTTTGGGTGTAATCGACTTATTCACATGAAATAAAATTGTATTTTTTTATTATAAAATGCCAGTAGAAAAAATCTTGTATACAATACGTTACGAAACGATGTCTTTTAGTCACTCGACGTGTTGTCCAACTCGGCTTTGCCTCGTTGGACAATTTTCACATCGCGTGCCTAAAAGACGCTCATTTCGTAACTTATTGTATAAATAGCTATTAACAGTTTTTTCACTTGGTTTCTGTTTCTGCGAATATCGGTTCGCAAATGTATCACATGTTCTTGAAATAACTTTATTACATTCTCCATAAATAATAAATAAATTTAAATAATCTTCATTTGTATAATTTAATCTTCCCGGCATGATTATTATCGAAAATTATTTCAATTTTTGTGACAAGGACATGCACGTTCTGCTTGACATTCTGTCATGCGCAAGGGTGCGTTCAGTTATTATTTTTAGAGCAAAATCGCCATATAAAAATATTAAATTGGCAATATTTCGAAAACTAAACATTTTCGGAATAGATAATCTCACACAAACTTACCTTTATTTTTAATGCTTAACAAGATAAAATTATAAAATTTTGGGGTTTCCATTTGAAAAAAATGATTTTTAGAAGTTTTCTCAACTTTATTTTTAATCTTATTTTTTAAGAACCCTGTATTAAAAGTTATCAAAACATAATGAAAATCTAATAAAATAGGTCCTTTTCAAGAAGGAATCAAGGTTCAATCAAAGAATAAAGGCTTCCTATAGGAAAAATTGACAATTATTTTAGGGTCTGCAAACGTAATTTTTTACATAAAAACTTAAATATGTCAAAAACGGTTAGACTTAGGTATAGGACATCGTACATGAAATATATTTAGAATTTTCTTCAGAATCCAAAAATATATTAATATACGGGGTGTTCTATTTAAAATAACCGAGTTGGTATCAACTTCCGGTATGAACGGAAATGGCGCCATCTTGAAAATATTTTACCTGGATGTCCCCCATCGACATTGCTATGTTGCCAAATTTTCAAATTTTTACCTTTCACAGTTTTCCCATAAGCAATCGATGTCATTCCCGGAGGACCACCCTGTATACAAAACAGAACTTTTTATTAAGTTTTTAAACTTTTCCGAACTTTCCCGGTCTCCGTTGTTTATATTTTTTTCTTCTAACCGCTCAGCCTAACCATATCGCCGAGGTGGTTAAAGAAATGACATACCGTTTTCTAACCCGGTTACAAAGCGACATCTTTGATACCACTCGAATTTGAGTGGTATGTTGCGGTTTGTTGAACCGGAGCCACGTGAAAAGGGCTATTGACTGTTTCAAACGGTTGCGAACATGTTAAAAAAGTGCACGAGAGAAAACGGCAGGTACTCGGGCCCAGTTGTACAATCTCGGTTCAAAACAAAGTTCAACTAAACTCGACTGGTACTTGAGCTTTCCCATTTAAAATATATTGCTGTCACTTATTAATCATTTTCTATCAATTTTGACAGCAATGCATCTCAAATGGGAAAGTTCAAGTACCAGTCGAGTTCAGCTGAACTCTGTTTTGAACCAAGATTGTACAACTGGGCCTCGGTCTGTGTTTTAAAGGGGGTGTGACCCGATTCTTGGGTGTAACCCCTAAAAGCAACTTAAAGCCTAAAGTGTGTGTTTTTTTTTTTAAGATAATTCCCCAAGTCAAAAATTTAGTAACTATGTTGGCAACACAAGCCTTTTCTACATAAAAAATTTGAAAGCATTGACAATTATACATTGTATTGCCAACATAATGTCATTTTGACTTTTATCTTTAAAAAAAAAACAGATTTTAGTTAGTACTCATAACCGCGAAATTCGCTCTTTTTTGACATTGCTTCGACAATTTGACGTTTGATTCACGCATTAAACGTCAATTTGTCGAAGCATTGTCAAAAAAGTGCGAATTTCGCTGTTATGAGTCCTATGCTTAAGCCTAGTACTCATAACCGCGAATGGCGGATTTTTATTTTGAATATATTTAAATCTGTCAAATTTACCAATAGAAAAAAACCCGTAAAATAAAAATCCGCAATTCTCGGTTATGAGTTTATAAGTACTAGGCTTGAAGCTATTTAAATGAAGAAAAAAAATCTAAGACCTCGGGTGAAAACCGCAGTCCTATATTCAAAATAGTTTGCGAGAAAATCCCTTATGAAGATAATTTATGCTTGTGACGTGACACCGACTAACCGCCGAAATCGCAGTTTTGAGACTTTGAGACTAGAGTATTAGTTGCAATTCGTTCTAAGTGATGACTTTTATTTTGGAAAATTTTACACGTGTTATGCCCAATGAAGTAGTAAGAAGGTTGGAATAGCCCTTTGTCTATCTATTCAATACATATATTTGCGGCCAACATTAGAGTGAGAGAACAGGAGAGATTCATGAGATTTTCTTGCCCTTAGTATCGCTATCTCACTCAGTTACTAGCGCTATCTCATTCTGGAATCAATTGAATGACGCAAAGCTCATTTCATACCTCTTTCTACTTTATTGGTTATGCCTCATTTTCACTTGCGTGAAATTCGCTCTTATCTGCGCGAAATTCGCTCTTTTTTTGAAATTACTTCGACAATTTGACGTTTTATGCCTGTATTAAACGTCAAATTGTCGAAGCAATGTCAAAAAAGAGCGAATTTCGCACAAGTGAGAATTAAGCTTTAAACCTCCAAAGCCGGTGTGACGTCACAGCCTAGGCGTTTGTCACTTTAAACCGCCCGAACTCGAAAACGGTTCATCGTAGCAACATGCGGATTAAATAAATATTTATTCTTCGATTTTTTTGTACTAAAAATTTCATTTTTAGGATTTGATTATTAATGTTGTCATGTCAAATATTTAATTTGTTTCCATTGTTGCAAGTTGGAGTGAAGTCAGAGCAGTGTTTGTCACGTTCTTGTTTTAGAGTAAGGAGAGCGTTGTTACTCTATTTATACTAAAAACTACCCGAATGGTCCGAATGACTACGTACGGAGTATTTTCTAGAGTGCGCGGAGTGAGCGTGCCGAACCCAGCCAGTAAAAAATTGACAACTCTCATTCCGAGTCATGACAGTTGGTTGATAGTGAATTGTCATGTTTGCATGACATTTATTTTTGTTATTTGTTGAAGTTGGAAAGTTCCGAATAGGTAGTTTTTCTTAAAAATAATTGTGGTACTACTGGAGAGTCAAACCCTTTGAAAAATGAGCGATCAAGAGGAAAAGGTGCAGCAATTTATTGCTGTTACCGGTGCAAATCCTGATAGGGCTAAATTTTTCTTGGATTCTGCTGCTTGGAATGTTGAGGTTAGGCCTACATAATTTTCTTTTGTATTATATTTTTGTTTCCACTAGCAAATTATATTTTTTTTCCAATTAGATTTTTCGTCCTTTATTGATCTTAAAAAAATGCCAGCCCCCCATCTAGGCTCTTCTTTAGCCCAACCCAATTTCATTTTCAATAATCTATACCTTGCAGGTTGCGATGTCTCGCTACTACGAAAACGAAGGTGAAGACGTTGAAATGATAGAAGACTCTCCACCATTAGCTGGTCTAGAAACACCGAGCGCGTCTCCTGTTGTAACTCCCGTAAGACCACAACCGAAAAAAAACCCAACTTTCAGTACCATCAACTTAATCACATCATCGAGCGACGAAGAAGAAGAGGGCCAAGCTTACTATGCAGGTGGATCTGAGCATAGTGGCCAGCAAGTTTTAGGACCCCCTAAAAAAAAGGATATTGTAGGAGATATGTTCAAATCTATCCAAGAACATGGGGTAGAGGTCTTGGATCCGGGTGCTAGTGGCAGTTCTAAAAGTAGATCTTTCAAAGGTACTGGGTATAAATTGGGTCAAGATGAAAGCAGTTCCGAAGTAGTTCCTGGGGCTCAAGAACCCACAGCTCCTCAAGAAGTGACATTACGGCTATGGCAAAATGGGTTTAGTGTAAACGATGGACCATTGAGAGAATACAATGATCCTGCCAATGCTGAATTTTTGTCAAGCATTAGAAGAGGCGAAATACCTCATGAGTTGAGAGAGGGAAGGGCTGAAATTCTCTTAGCTATGGAAGATCATAGAATGGAGAAGTTCAAGAAAGCTAAAGCTGCATCAAAGCCATTCCAAGGACAGGGTTATACTTTAGGTAGTCCTGCACCAGCAGTAGTTGGGGCTAGTGATGTTGAGGATGATAAACCAGCTAATGAAGCTCGTGCCAAAGAATTGCTTAAGGTTAACACTACTGAGCCAGTAACTAAGTAAGTGGAAAAATAATTGATTTTTGAAGATTATTTTAATGCATTTTTTGTTTTCAGTCTCCAAATTCGTTTAGCTGATGGTTCCAGGTTGGTTGCCCAATTTAATCATGAACACACTATACGCCAAATCAGGGAGTACATTACAGCAGCAAGGCCTCAATACACAGCGCAGGCTTTTAATCTCCTAACAACTTATCCTTCTAAAGTATTAGATGAGTCCTTAACTATTAAAGATGCTGGTCTGTTGAATGCTGCAATAATGCAAAAATTAACCTAACAAGTTGGTAATTTATTTTTGTATTTGAAATTTTCATTAATACATTATTTATTGATGGGAATATTTATTAATTTAGTAAATATAATAATATTCTCGATATTTTTCTTAATAGGTTTTAAGCAGTATACCAGTGTAAATGCTTAGTTTATTATAGATTATTGGCATACTTATTTAGTTTTTCTTTTATAACATGGTACAATAAACAAAAATAACTTTTTTTGAAATGCATAAATGGCTTTTTTCTATGGAGTGCGTCCTAGGAGAGTTCTACACTTTTTTTAAGTTTTACGCTGCACCCGCCCACCATCAAGGTTGTGTTCTGGTTCCGATCAGTGTTGCCAAGGAGCAAAAATTTTTTGTACCAAAATCAAAGACAAATTGTACCAGATTCAATAAAAATGTACAGGGTGATCTAGTATAAGTGTCACCCCCTTCTAACTTTTTCATTTGACATTTTTGATAAAAGTGTCAAATACAAAAGTTTAAATAAATTGTCGAATGTTTTTAACTAAGTTGATTTTAGGCATACAGGGTGCGTCGAAAAAGTGCAGCACTGTGAAGTTATATTTTTTTAAATGGAACACCCTGTATTTTGTGCACTTATTTGTTGGTCCCTTTTAACCTGATTTCAACGATATGTGGTTTGATATGTCTATCTTCAGCCGCTTTCCAGCTGTGTGCTTCAAGCACGGTGCAGCACAGTGTTCTGTGTTTGAAACGCAAAAGTTAGCAGCTCTCGAAGTGCAGTACGGCTGGAACACGAACACGCGCTTGAAGCATTTGCGCGCCAAAAAGCTCGATTGCGTGCTCAAAAGCGTCAGCTGGAAAGCGGCTTTCAATAGCTAGGAAAAAATTTGAAAACCCCTTTCAAGGTTTCACATTGAAAATAGAAAAATTATACTATTTAGGGCGGGTATTATGAAACTGCTTTGACAGTTAACTTTTTGAATTGCATGTAATTCCAGAAGTTAACTTTAAGTTAACTCTCAAAGTAGTTTTATAATACCCACCCTTAGGGCGGGTATTACAAAACTGCTTTGACAGTTAACTTGAAGTTAACTTTTTGAATTACATGTATTTTCAGAAGTTAACTCTCAAAGTAGTTTTATAATACCCGCCCTTAGGCCGTGTATTATAAAACTGCTTTGACAGTTAACTTGAAGTTAACTTTTTGAATTACATGTAATTCCAGACGTTAAGTTTAAGTTAACTCTCAAAGAAGTTTTATAATACCCGCCCTTAGGCTTTACAGAATTTTTTTTATATACAGTTTATTGTTCAAATTTTATTTATTAATATACAAGGTGAAATATTATAATAAATCCAGATGTCTAAGTTATTATTAGTATTTTTAAAAAAATTGCATATGAGACCTATAGGAAGGGATTTTCGCGTTTTTTCTCTATTACTATTGGAGATAAACCGAGAGATAAACATATCAAACCATATGTCGTTGAAATTTTATTATTTTAATCTATTTAAAAAATATAACTTTATATTGCTGTACCTTTTTGACGCACCCTGTATGCCTAAAACTGACTTAGGGCGGGTATTATAAAACTACTTTGAGAGTTAACTTAAAGTTAACTTCTGGAATTACATGTAATTCAAAAAGTTAACTTCAAGTTAACTGTCAAAGCAGTTTTATAATACCCACCCTTAGGGCGGGTATTATAAAAATACTTTGAGAGTTAACTTAAAGTTAACTTCTGGAATTACATGTAATTCAAAAAGTTAACTTCAAGTTAACTGTCATAGCAGTTTTATAATACCCGCCCTTAGTTAAAAAGTTTTGACAATATCTTAAAACTTTTGTATTTGACACTTCTGTCAAAAACGACAAATGAAAAAGTTATCAGGGGGTGACATTAATAGGCCTGTTCGCACAGCAATCACAAACCAGTCAGAGCGATTTTCATTGGTTGAAAACAATGAGAAACAGTCAGAAAACTAGTTTCAACCAATGAGATTCAGTCTGACTGGTTTGTGATTTCTCTGCGAACAGACATTATAATAGATTACCCTGTACCAGCACATAAATGCACAATGCATTTCCTGAAAAAGTTTCGATAATTTTTGATCTGGTAGGATAAGAGTACGTTTTGTTTTGATTTGATGATAAGTGAAAACCCAAACTGAACGCAAACTACATCAACCAACCGTGCGTTCGGTATTTTGCTTAAAGAGCAGAGCGGAGCCATAATCACTTGACCAGCGAGCGAACAGAGTAGTTGAACGCTGTATCAGAGTGCCCAAAACTTTAATAAACGAACGCTAATGAGCCTGCACCGAGTACACTTTTCAAATAAACGAACGGTAAATTAAACTCGGAGAACTCAGATCAAAATAACGAACGCACGGCAAGAATCACGAAACGAGTGTTACATTGTGTGTTATGAATCAGAAATGATAGTAATACCGGAATTTACATTCAGAAATTCAAAAAAATATTAATTACAACATCAACATTAGAAGTAGACGCTAGACCAAGTCTTTATTTGGGATTTTGGAAGAAATAAAGTTCAAAATTGTACCAAATATGCCAGCGTCGTACCAGCGTACTTTCTCAAACCGAATAGTACCAAATCTGGTACAATTGTACCACCTCTGGCAACACTGGCTCAGATTATTTTTTATAGCGTTTTCTGTTGGTAAAACTCGTGCTGTCCGAGTTCTGCACTCAACACTGAATCAGTTCACGTTTAGCGCAATCTCAAAAGAACATAAATTTGGCGCGTTTTGTCATTCTTTTCAAATTTATTATTGAACGTTGAACGATCCCTGATCCCTAACCTAACCTAAAGATATTTTCAATGGAATAAAAATTAAAAACGTTTGTATCAAAAAGTTGAAAACGGAAGTTTTTCCTGTATGGAAAGTACATAATTATGCTGTCTCCCGAGATGTGCAGAAATAATTCCAATGATACCTGCGTTGAAATTAATTTTTATGTCAATTTCAATAATAAAATTTTGAATTTTTGGTATCTCATTATCCCTGGCAAACATTCAGGCCTATGATGTATCCTGTCACTATCCTGTCAATTCCTGTCCTGTTATTTCAACGTCTGTGTTAAGGCTCAACATCTATTTCTGTCTCTATTTTGACGTTGCTGTTAAAATAACAGAAAATGATACATCATAGGCCTGCTTTTCGGCACTTTACGCCATCTTTGTTGTGTCCTGACATTGGCACGAGCTCTCTGACCTCGTGCTGGAAAAGTTGCACGAGGGCAATAATTGATTGCCCTGGTTTTCCAATAGAACATAAAAACCCGCTCGGAAACTGCCAACAGAACATAATTTTTGCATGAGTGCAGCACGAGTTTTACCAACAGAAAACGCTATTTTATCACGAAGTTGGAGTGGAGTCAGAGTAGATTTTTGACACATGTTCCTAGAGTAAAGCGAACGTGCATATACACGAACGAACCGGAACTGATTTTCATTTTTTCTGCTATTTAGGTGCTCGGCTAAAAACCATACCCGAACGGTCGGAGTACTCGGAGTACGTAAGTACATGCTCCATGGACACGTGACATGAAACTATTGGTTCTAACCTCACTTTTCTTGGTAAATGTAAATAAAAACACATGCTTGTGTTATTCGAATTCGAATATTTGGAATTCATCATTTATTCGTTTTTAGTTAAAAGGAGTATCAGAATCGGGCAAAAAGCGCAAAATGGAAATTATGAACGACGAAAAACCTCGTATAATATTAACAGAACACAAAGTCGTTAACGTAAGTAACCATAAACCAACTTAAACCACCAATATTAGAATACCGATGCCTTTTTTAGAATTTTCCAACAGGTCCTACGGTCTTCGACGAGCACTTCGAAGTTAAAAAATTCAAAAAGAAGTTGCAAATAGTGATAGTGCGCCACGACCATTTGGAAATGGAGTTTGACTTGATCGGAATTCATCCATTTTTGGCAAACACTTTCCGAAGACTGATGCTGAGCGATGTGCCGACCATGGCAATAGATCAAGTGCATATTTTGAATAACACTTCTATTATACAAGACGAAGTTTTGGCGCACCGATTGGGACTTATTCCTATCAGGGCAGACCCTAGGTTGTTCGAGAATAAAGCTGATGGTGAGTATTTGTAAGAGCCTTAGCTGATAACTTGTGTATAAAAACTGTATCTTTTGCTAAGTTGTTACATTACAAGCCATGCAATGGCATTTCATTTTTATAAGAAAATGCTCCAGCTATATGGGGAAATTTCCTCGTTATTTTTTAACAGTGTGGATAATGTTACGGAACTTCCGGTCGAATATTTTTTTTTTAATAACCCGGAATTTCCGAGTTATTAGTTTATTATTATTCGTCCGGAAAATAATACACCATGTATCCCTGCAATGACACAATCATTACTCCCCAGGCCCCATTGTGCTGGCGCTGGCGCCGCGCCGCCAATTTTGAATTTAAATTTTCTATTCTCTCCCGGATGATCTCAACATTTCCCTTTTTATTTTTTTTTCGGCCTTAAGATGTTCCGTAGCGAGGAGGGTCAAATTTACTTTTTGACGTATTTTTTGCTCCTCTATCCGATAGATTTTTTTTTGTTTTGAAATTTGATATTTGAATTTTTTCGGCAAAAAAATTCAAAGGGTATAAGCCTTCGAATTTTTTTATAAATTTTCAAACCGTCCTAACTCGAAAACGAAAAGCTTGGGAGAAAAACTTCATAGGTAAAACTTATAGATCTCGTCGAGTACTACAAAAAAGCCTATAAGAGGTATCCCTCCACGGGGCACCGTTTTCGAGAAAATCGACCTCGAAAATTTTAACAAAATTACAATAAATTTCAAATTTGACGGCCAATATCTCAAAGACAAAAACGGCCTGGAAACTCTATCAAAATCGAAATTTCCTTTTTTATTTTTTTTCGGCCTTAAGATTCGATATTTGAATTTTTTTGACAATGCAAGGACTAGATATATATTCGAAACGTCGAGTCGCAATGTCGTGTTTAATCGCTCCCGGTTTATAGTGGTTTTAAAGCAGTAAAAAGTGACCAAATTTTTTGGAACTTTCACACAGTTATAGTGCGAACTAAGATTTAACGGGTGAGCTGATCATCGAGTGAATGCACCCAATGCATAACCTGTAACAACTGAAATACATTCAAACAATAGCTAAAACAACAACAAAAAGTGAAATAAAATACCATCATAAAAAGTGGTCCCACTTCACAAAGGCAAAATACACCTTTTTTTGTGAGGATTATTTCTGACCTGTGCTATCGGCGAGCGAACGTATAAACAATATAATATAAATAAATAAATGGTAATATTAAATACTGACTCTCGATAACTTATAAGGATAAACCTAAAACATTAAACAATGAGCACCAAACTCAAATTCAAATTTGGATGTTGTGCAAATAAGGCATAAGAACTCTCTCCAGAATTTTACAAACAGTATAAAAATATTTACAGAAGAACTTTAAAGCTAGCTAAACGTATGTATTATGATAACAAGTTGTCCTTATCCACAAACAAATCAAAAACCGTCTGGGACATTATAAATTCTACAACAAAAAGTCAGAAGAAAGTTGAAATTGAAAGTATTATCTGTAATGATATTGAATACAAAAATCCTAGTCAAATTGCAAACCTCTTTAATTCCTTTTTCATTAATATACCCTTGAAAATCCAAGAAAATCAGAATATAAATAGAATACCCCAGCACAATGTTGTATCTAGGATTGAGAGTACCATTTTCTTACACGATGTTTCAGAGACTGAAATGATGCAAGCAATTAATAATTTAAAAAATACAAACTCAACCGGCCCTGATGAATTCTCATCATCTTTAATTAAAAGCTGTAAAGATCAACTATGTAAACCCCTTTGCTCTCTTCTAAACTTGTGTTTTTCAGAGGCAACATTTCCAGACTGTTTGAAAGTATCTAAAGTTATCTGCTTGCATAAAAAAGATAATACAAATGATATGGGAAACTATCGCCCTATATCGCTTTTATCAACATTCTCAAAAATATTTGAAAAAATTATATCTAAACGCATTTTAAACTTTTTAAATTCAAATAATCTAATATCAAATACCCAGCATGGTTTCCGCGACAAAAGATCGACTATTTCTGCACTATGTTATATTTTAGATAATGTCTATAAAAATCTAGACAAAAGCAAGAAAGTTATGGCACTATTTGTGGACTTAACTAAAGCTTTTGACTGTGTGGACCACGGCCTGCTTTTGCAAAAACTTCAATCCTACGGAATTCGTGGTAACTGTTACTCATTATTAAAATCATATCTCTGTAATCGTAAACAATATGTGCAATGTAATGGAGCTATGTCTGACCAGTTAAATGTTGAGGTTGGTGTACCACAGGGTAGTGTTCTTGGTCCCCTCCTATTTCTCATGTACGTGAATGATATATCGGATATCTTAACAACTTTGCATTGTGAATTTGCTGATGATATTACACTTTTATCTTCTGATCTCAATGAACAAATTATGAAAAAGGGTTTGACAGATAACCTGCATTTTTTATCTAATTATTTTTGTAATAATAAACTGGTGCTTAACCAGGCAAAGACTTACACAATGCAATTTCATCCTTATGAGGCAAATTACAATAAAAGTCAATACATTCTCTTGAATGGCAGATCAATAAGGCAGGTTAATACTGTGAAACTTTTGGGTATCCATGTTGACATGTCATTAAACTGGAGAAAGCAGATAAATTATGTATGCAATAAGTGTGCAAAGAGTTGTTTTGCTTTATATCGTCTGTCTCAAATAACAAGTAGAAGCACTGTAAGAGTGTTTTATTTTTCAATTATTGAATCATGTATTAGATATGGGATTGTGCTTTGGGGTGCAACCTCTGCTTCACAAAGAGTCTTTATAATGCAAAAAAGGGCTATTCGATTAATGTATAATATGAAGTTTAGGGAATCTTGTAGACAAAAATTTATTTCTGAAAAAATCATGACTATGCCTTGTTTATACATTTTCGAAATCTTGAAATTTGTAAGGGATAACTCAAATGCTTTTAAAGCTCTAAATCTGCATCATGATTACACAACTAGATTTGGACTTGATTATCAATATGACGTTCATCGTCTTGAGCTTTACAAAGCAAATCCTTACTACATAGGGGCTATTTTGTATAACAAGATACCTATTAGCAAACGTCAATTAAATCAGAATGAGTTCTTATGTTTTATTAAAAATATTTTATTGGAAAATGCATTCTATACAGTGGAGGAGTTTCTAAACTTTACGCAGAGGAAGATATGAAAGAATACTTCATAAAAATTGTAATAGGTATATTATTTGATTATTCTTATGCTTATTGTTATAAATAGGTAATTAATTATTTATAATGTTACGTTATTGATTAGTATGTAATGCAAATTTTATCTGTAAATATTTTCCTATATCCTGTATGTGATCCTTGGAAATAAACATCTATCTATCTATCTATCTATCTATCTATCTATCTATCTATATCTACTACTGCTGTGTAACCTGTTCTAATCTTTTTCACCCCAGCTGCCTGGATAGGGAGTTCACAAATCATACTAAGTTGGGTGACCACAAAATATATTGCTCCAAGGATTGTAAAAGACCATTGGAAAGGGATGATATCCTGGATCCGCCTTTCGATGAGCTGGACAGACTGCAACGTGAGAATCACCTACTCAAGTTCCAAGTCACTGAAAAAAATAACCAGCTTGATTTAATAACTTCTGATAAAAATGAGGTAATACAGGGCCTAGAAGAACAGCTAACTGCGATGAAATCTGAAATTACGTGTCTCCAATCAGCAATTAAAAAAGACAGAAGAAAAACCCAAGAATTTGAGGATGATGTTTTTCATGCTGAAAAGGAAATTTTAGAAAAGTTGAATATGAAAAGCGTGGAAGTTGTATCCCTTCGCGACAATATAAAATTTTTAAAGGAGGAGAAACTCGCTCTGGATCTTACTTTACAATCACATAAGGACAAAATATCTGTTCTTCATAAGGATATGATTAGGGCTCTAGAGGCGGATAATTCATCATACACAAATGAAATTGTTGTTCTGAAATCGCAAATCGCTAGCCTTTCTTCCGGAGGAGGTACCCAGGATTTGATATTGACTACGGAAACAACCATTCAACCCGAGATTCAACCCATTGATATTACACCGAAATATAGGGAAATACTTGTAACAACAACTAAAATTGCCACAGACGAAACAAACTGCCCTATTAAAACTCTGGAAGAAATTTATTTATTTATTTATTTATTTAATATAATACACAACAGAGGAAGCTCCAAATGGTATAACTTATATACTAGGTCTATAATTATAATAATAAACACATAATAAATTAATAAGTGAAGGGTTAAGTAAATAAATGTCCACGCCCATACATCGGAGTTGCAACCAATTAGAGAGGTAAATTTTCCAAGTGAATTGTCTGAAATCATTGAGCCAATATCGATCTCAACTTATTTTTGAAGGTGATTGGAGTGCAGTTGAAATCGACATTCATCGGAATATATGTATTGAAAAGATGCATAATACGGTTCATAGCACTGTTTTTGCCAACGTCGGTTCGGCTTCTATTAGTTAAAAATATGTCGTTTAAACGTGTATTGACAGAGATATGTTCATAAGTGCTAAGAGATCAGAGCAATTTATGTTATAGGTAATTATATTGAAACCGAATGTTAGTGTAAGGAAAACCCTACGCATCTCCAGGCTTTGTATATTCAGCATTTGTAGACGATCCTGGTGGGAAAATAGGTTTTTGTCGATTCCGAGTTTATATAATAGGAAATTAACAAACTTCATTTGAACTCGTTTGATGCGTTTAATATGGATTTGGTAATATGGTGACCAGATCACGCAGCAATACTCAAGGTGACTTCGCACCAACGAAAAATAGAGAGATTTTAGTACCTCGACATTAGAAAACTCCCAGCATCTTCGCATTATAAACCCTGCCATTTTGAAAGCTTTGGACAGGATATGATTTATGTGGTTGTTGAATCTTAATTGGGAATCAAAAATTACTCCCAGATCATTTATAAGGTCTACTCTGGGGAGCGGAGAACTTGAAATATAG